GGCTGAGTCCTTCCTGCAGCACCAGGAGCCAACTCCCACTTTTTGCCCTGTGCTGCGTGGCATCTCCATTCTCTTCACACCTTTCCTGTCCATCTCTAAATCCATCTTTTTCGGTGAAATATAAATATCAACATCCCACTTTGTTGCTAGAATTTCATTTGAAACAGAAAAAAGCCAGAATTACATGGGAAACACAAAAAAGTCACTTTTCATAGTTTTGTCCATTAGAGCTAAATCAATAGCCAATCAGGAGGCATGTAAAACTCAGCCAGCCAATGAAGAGGCGCGTAACACTCATCCAGCGGACCAGGAGGTATGTAACACGGAACCAGCCAATCAGGAGGCGTGTAAAACTCAGCCAGCATATCAGGAGAAATATCACACTCAGTCAGCCAATCAGGAACACTTTTACACTCAGCCAGGCAATAAGGAGGCGTGTCACACTCAGGCAGCCAATCAGGAAGCGTGTCGCACTCAGCGAGCCAATCAGTAGCCATGTAACACTCAGCCAGCCAATGAGGAGGCGTGTAACAATCAGCCAGCCAATGTGGAGGCATGTAACTCTCAGCCAGCCATTCAGCAGTTGTTTAACTCTCAACCAGCCAATCAAGAGCTGTGTAACACTCAGTCAGCCAATCAGGAGACATGTAAAACTCAACCACCAATCAGGGGGCGTGTAACTCTTAGCCAGCCAATCAGCAGGTGTGTAAAAAGTCAGGCCAGCCAATCAAGAGCCCTGAAACACTCAGCCAGCCAATGAGCAGCCGTGTAACACTCAGCCAATTCAATTCAATTCAATTTTATTTGTATAGCGCCAATTCATAACAGAAGTTATCTCAGGACACTTTTCAAATAGAGCAGGTCTAGACCAAACTCTTTAACATTAATTACAGAGACCCAACAGTACTACCATGAGCAAGCACTTGGCGACAAGGGCAAGGAAAAACTGCCTGTTAAAAGGCAGAAACCTAGGACAGATCCTCCGGCTCTAGGTGGGTGGTCGTCTGTCTCGACCAGTTGGGGTGAGAAAGAGAGAGAGAGAGAGAGAGAGAGAGAGCGAGAGACAGACAGACAGACAGGTGCACAGCAACAACAGTATTGGCAATGGCAGTCAAGCAGGACCATGGCAGGAGGCTCCACCAGGATCCATGAGAACCTGCGAGACGAGCAAGCACAAGAAGTCCGGGGAAGAAGTGAAGTTAGTAACATGCTTTAAAGGGACATGAATGAGTGCAGAAAGAGAGAGGAAGAGAGGAGCTCAGTGCACCATGGGAAATCCCCCGATAGTCTAGGCCTATAGCAGCATAACTAAGGGAGACCAGCCAATAAGGAGACCTGTGAATGTCAGCAAGCCAATCAGGAGGCGTGTCAATCACAGGGCCTTTGACACTCAGGCAGCCAATCAGGAGGCCTTTGACAGTCAGCCAGTAGATCAGAAGGGGAGGAACACTCAGTCAGCCAATATAAAGGCGTGTCACACTCCAACAGCCAATAAGGAGGCGTTTCACACTAAGGCAGCCAATCAGGAGCCATATACCACTCAGCCACCCAATCAAGAGTCGTGAAACACTCAGGCAGCATATCAGGAGGCCTTTGACAGTCACCCAGTTTATCAGAAGGGGACGAACACTCAGCCAGACAATATGAAGGCTTGTCACACTCCAACAGCCAATATAAAGGCGTGTCAAACACCGACAGCCAATCAGGAGGCCTTTGACACTCAGCCATTGAATCACAAAGCGTGTAACACTCAGCCAGCCAATAGGGAGGCGTGTCACACTAATGCAGCCAATAAGGAGGCGTGTCACACTAAGGCAGCCAATCAGGAGGCCTTTGACAGTAAGCCAGCCAATCAGGACGTGTGTAACACTCATCCAGCCAATAAGGAAGCTTGTCACACTAAGGCAGCCAATCAGGCGCCCTTTGACAGTCATCCAGCCAATCAGGACGCGTGTAACACTCAGCCAGCCAAACAGGAGGTGTGAAAGCACACAACCAGGAGGTGTGCACCACTCAGGCAGCTAATCAGGAGGCTTTCTACAGTCAGTCAGACATTAAGGAAACGTGTCACACTAATGCAGCAGATCAGGAGGAATGTAACACTCAGTCAGATAATCATGAGGCGTGAAACAGTCAACCAGCCAATCAGGAGGCCTTTGACACTCAGCCAGCCAATAAGGAGGTGTTTCACACTAAGCCAGCCAATCAGGAAGCGCGTAACACTCAGGCAGCTTATCAGAAGGCTTTTGACAGTCAGCCAGCCAATCATGAGGCGTGCCATACTCAGCCAGTCAATGAGCAGGCGTGTAACATTCAGGCAGCCAAAAACGAGGCGTTTCACACTAAGGCAGCCAATCAGGAGCCATGTACCACTCAGCGACCCAATCAAGAGGCGTGTAACACTCAGGCAGCCAATCAGCAGGCCTTTGACAGTCAGCCAGTAGATCAGAAGGGGAGGAACACTCAGCCAGCCAATATGAAGGCTTGTCACACTCCAACAGCCAATATGAAGGCGTGTCACACTCCGACAGCCAATCAGGAGGCCTTTGACACTCAGCCATCGAATCACGAAGCGTGTAACACTCAGCCAGCCAATAGGGAGGCGTGTCACACTAATGCAGCCAATAAGTAGGCGTGTCACACTAAGGCAGCCAATCAGGAGGCCTTTGACAGTCAGCCAGCTAATCAGGACGCGTGTAACACTCAGCCAGCCAATCAGGAGGTGTGAAAGCAGCCAATCAGGAGGTGTGTAACACTCAGGCAGCTAATCAGAAGGGTTTTTAAAGTCAGTCAGCCAATCATGAGGCGTGTAACACTCAACCAGCCAATAAGGACGTTTGTAAAAGTCAGCCAGCCAAGAAGGTGGCGTGTAACACTCAGCCAGCCAATCAAGAGGCATATAACACTCACTCAGCCAATCAGGAGACATGTAAAACTCAACCACCAATCAGGGGGCGTGTAACTCTTAGCCAGCCAATCAGCAGGTGTGTAAAAAGTCAGGCCAGCCAATCAAGAGCCCTGAAACACTCAGCCAGCCAATGAGCAGCCGTGTAACACTCAGCCAGGCAATGAGGAGACCTCTGAATGTCAGCCAGCCAATCAGGAGGCATGTCACACTCAGGCAGCAAATCAGCAGGCCTTTGACAGTCAGCCAGCCATTCAGCAGGCGTGTAACACTCAGCCAGCCAATCAGGAAGCTTATCACACTAAGGCAGCCAATCAGGCGGCCTTTGACAGGCAGCCAGCCAATAAGGAGGCGTGTCACACTAAGGAAGCCAATCAGGAGGCCTTTGAAAGTCAGCCAGCCAATCAGGACGCGTGTAACACTCAGCCAGCAAATCAGGAAGCTTGTCACACTAAGGCAGCCAATCGGGGCGCGTGTAACACTCAGCCAGCCAATCAGGAGCCGTGTAACACTCAGACAGCCAATCAGGGGGCATATAACACACAGCCAGCCAATCAGGAGGCGTGTAACACTCTACTAGCCAATCAGGAGGCATGTAAAACTCAGCCAGCTAATAAGGGGGCGTGTAACACTCAGCCAGCCAATCAGGAGGCGTGTAACACTCTGCTAGCCAATCTGGAGGCTTGTAACACTCAGCCAGCCAATCAGGGGGCGTGTAAAACTCAGCCAGCCAATCGGAGGCATGTCACAGTCAGCTAGCCTTTGACACTCAGCCAGCCAATCAGAACGTGTGTAACACTCAGCCAGCCAATCAGGAGGCGTGTAACACTCAGCTAGCCAATCAGGAGGCGTGTAACACTCAGACAGCCAATCAGGGGGCGTGTAACACTCAGCAAGCCAATCAGGAGGCGTGTAACACTCAGATAGCCAATCACGGGGCGTGTAACAATCAGCCAGCCAATCAGGAGGCGTGTAACACTCAGCTAGCCAATCAGGAGGCGTGTAACACTCAGACAGCCAATCAGGGGGCGTGTAACACTCAGCCAGCCAATCAGGAGGCATGTAACACTCAGGCAGCCAATATGGAGGCCTGTAACCCTCAGCCAGCCAATAAGGAGGCCTGTAACACTCAGCCAGCCAATCAGGAGGCGTGTAACACTCAGCTACCAATCAGGAGGCGTGTAACACTCAGCTACCAATCAGGAGGCGTGTAACACACGCTGTCCCCCGACCACCTAAATTATTTAAAGAAATAAAAACAAGAGGAGTTCAACATAAAAATCTAATACAAATTAAAACTAACTCCTCAGTAGCACAAAATAAGAGAATGAAATGTGGGCTGTTAAATATCAGGTCTCTGTCCTCTAAAGCTGTTTTAGTGAATGAATTAATATCAGATTATGATATTGATTTACTTTGTCTTACTGAGACCTGGTTGTCCCACGAGGAGTATGTTAGCCTAAATGAATCCACCCCCCCCAGTCATATTAATACTCACATTCCTCGAGGCACAGGCCGAGGAGGTGGAGTGGCAGCCATATATGATTGGAGCGTTTTAATGGACCCTAAACCTAAACTAAATTATAATTCATTTGAAAGCCTTGTTCTTAGTCTTTCTCACCCAAACTGGAAAACACTTCAGCCAGTTCTATTTGTTATAGTGTACCGCGCTCCTGGACCGTACTCTGATTTTATATCTGAATTTTCAGAGTTTCTATCAAGTTTAGTCCTTAAATCAGATAAAGTAATTATTGTAGGTGATTTTAATATTCATGTGGATGTTGACAATGACAGCCTTAGTAATGCATTCATATCATTAATAGACTCAATTGGCTTCTGTCAGAGTGTAAATAAACCAACTCATTGTTTTAATCACACTCTTGACCTTGTTTTATCATATGGCATTGATATTGAACATTTAATAGTCTTCCCACATAATCCTTTCCTATCTGACCATTATTTAATAACTTTTGAATTCATACTATTAGATTATAAGCCATTAGGCAAAACCTCCTACAGCAGATGTCTATCTGACAGTGCTGTAGCTAAATTTAAGGAGGAGATTCCTTCAGTGTTTAATTCAATGCCATGTCTGAATTTTTTAAGTCCTATAACGACTTTAGTCCCTCTGAAATTGATAATCTTGTCGATAGTGCTACAGGCTCACTACGATCAACATTAGACTCTATCGCTCCTATAAAAAGGAAATTATTAAAACATAGGAGACTAGCACCTTGGTATAACCACCAAACCCGCCAGTTAAAACAAATAGCTAGAAAATCTGAAAGGAAATGGCGCTCTTCCAAATTATCAGAATATCGCTCAAATTGGCAAGATAATCTTAAAATTTATAGAAAGGCCCTCCGTAATGCCAGAAGAGCCTATTACTCAGCACTAATAGAAGAAAATAAGAACAACCCTAGGTTCCTCTTCAGCACTGTAGCCAGACTGACAGAGAGTCACAGCTCTATTGAGCCACATATCCCCATAAACTTAAGTAGCAATGACTTCATGAGCTTCTTCTATAATAAAATTATTATTATTAGAGAAAAAATTAATCACCAGCTGCCATCAACAGTTATCAGTGGCTCTCCAAGTTCAGGGACTTCTGTCAATGTAAACTTAGATATATATTTAGACTGTTTTTCTGCTATCAATCTTCATCAGTTAACTTCAATCATTTCTTCATCGAAGCCATCAACCTGTCTATTAGACCCGATCCCAACTAGGCTGCTTAAAGAAGTTGTTCCCTTAATTGGCACTTCTTTACTGGATATGATTAATCTTTCTTTATTACCAGGATATGTACCACAGTCCTTTAAAGTAGCTGTAATTAAACCCCTTCTTAAAAAGTCCACTCTTGACCCAGGGGTTTTAGCCAACTATAGACCAATTTCTAACCTCCCCTTCCTCTCTAAGATTCTGGAGAAAGTAGTCGCCAAAGAGTTGTGTGACTTTCTACATAACAATAGTTTATTTGAGGATTTTCAGTCAGGATTTAGAGTTCATCATAGCACAGAGACAGCTCTGGTTAAAGTTAATAATGACCTTCTGACTGCTTCTGACAATGGACTTGTCTCTGTACTTGTATTATTAGATCTTAGTGCTGCATTTGACACCATTGACCATAATATTCTTTTGGGGAGACTTGAGCATCAAATTGGCATTAAAGGAACCGCACTAAGCTGGTTTAAGTCATATTTATCAGATCGTACGCAGTTTGTACATGTTAACGATGAATCTTCAATAAATACTACAGTTAGTCATGGAGTTCCACAAGGTTCTGTACTTGGACCAATACTATTTATATTTGCTCCCTTTAGGCAACATTATTAGGAATCACTCCATTAACTTTCACTGTTATGCAGATGATACGCAGTTATATCTATCAATCAAACCCAATGAAATTAATCAATTATCTAAATTACAAACATGTCTTACGGACATAAAATCCTGGATGACCTGCAATTTTCTGATGTTAAACTCAGAAAAAAACGAAATTCTTGTTCTTGGCCCCAAAAACCTTAGAGACTCATTGTCTAAAGATATAGTCACTCTAGATGGCATTAACTTGGCCTCTAGCACCACTGTCAGGAACCTTGGAGTTATCTTTGATCAGGATTTGTCATTTAACTCTCACATAAAGCAGACCTCTAGGACCGCCTTCTTTCATTTACGTAATATTAGAAAAATTAGACACATCCTATCACAGACAGATGCAGAAAAACTAATCCATGCATTTGTTATTTCAAGGCTTAATTACTGCAACTCTTTATTATCAGGTTGCCCCAATAAGTCCATTAAAACGCTTAATTCAGAACGCTGCAGCACGAGTACTGACAGGAACTAGAAAAAGAGATCACATCTCTCCTGTACTAGCTTCTCTGCATTGGCTCCCTGTAAAATGTAGAATTGAATTTAAAATCCTCCTCCTCACCTATAAAGCTCTTCATGGTCAGGCCCCTTCATATCTTAAAGAGCTCATAGTACCCTATTACCCCACTAGAACACTACGTTCTCTGAATGCTGGGCTTTTTGTGGTTCCTATAGTCTCTAAAAGTAGAACAGGAGCCAGAGCCTTCAGTTACCAAGCTCCTCTCCTGTGGAACCAGCTTCCAGTTGTGGTTCGGGAGTTCCTCACCACATTCAAGAGTAGGCTTAAGACATTCCTCTTTGATAAAGCTTATAGTTAGGGCTGGATCAGGTGAGTCCTGAACCATCCCTTAGTTATGCTGCTATAGGCCTAGACTATCGGGGGATTTCCCATGGTGCACTGAGCTCCTCCCTTCCTCTCTCTTTCTGCACTCATTCATGTCCCATTAATGCATGTTACTAACTCCACTTCTTCCCCGGAGTTCTTGTGCCCTCTCGTCTCGCAGGTTCTCATGGATCCTGGTGGAGCCTCCTGCCATGGTCCTGCTTGACTGCCATTGCCAATACTGTTGTTGCTGTGCACCTGTCTGTCTGTCTGTCTGTCTCTCGCTCCCTCTCTCTCTGCCTCTCTCTCTCGCTCTCTCTCTCTCTGCCTCTCTCTCTCTCTCTCTCTCTCTCTCTCTGCCTCTCTCTCTCTCTCTCTCTCTCACCCCAACTGGTCGAGACAGACGACCACCCACCTAGAGCCGGAGGATCTGTCCTAGGTTTCTGCCTTTTAACAGGCAGTTTTTCCTTGCCCTTGTCGCCAAGTGCTTGCTCCTGGTGGTACTGTTGGGTCTCTGTAATTAATGTTAAACAGTTGGGTCTAGACCTGCTCTATTTGAAAATTGTCCTGAGATAACTTCTGTTATGAATTGGCGCTATACAAATAAAATTGAATTGAATTGAATTAACACTCAGACAGCCAATTAGGGGGCGTGTAACACTCAGGCAGCCAATCAGGAGGCCTGTAACACTCAGCCAGCAAATAAGGAGGCGTGTCACACTCAGCCAGCCAATCAGGAGGCGTGTAAATCTCAGGCAGCCAATCAGGAGGCGTGAAACACTCAGGCAGCCAATAAGAAGGCATGTCACACTTAGGCAGCCAATTAGGACTGGTGTAACACTCAGGTAGCCAATCAGGCGGCGTGTAACACTGAGGCAGCCAATAAGGAGGCGTGTCACACTCAGCCAGCCAATAAGAAGTCTTGTTACACTCAGGCAGCCAATCAGGAGGCATGAAACACTCAGGCATCCAATAAGGAGGCGTGTCACACTCAGACAGTCAATCAGGAAGCCTTTGACACTCAGCCAGCCAATCAGGAGGCGTGTCACACTGAGACAGTCAATCAGGGGGCTTGTAACACTCAGCCAGCCAATCAGTAGGCATGTAACACTAAGCCAGCCAATGAGGAGGCGTGTCACACTCAGCCAGCCAATCAGGAGGCGTGTAACGCTCAGGCAGTCAATCAGGAGGCGTGAAACACTCAGCTACCAATCAGGAGGCGTATAACACTCAGCCAGCCAATCAGGAGTCGTGTAACACTCAGACAGCCAATCAGGGGGCGTGTAACACTCAGCCAGCCAATCAGGAGGCGTGTCACACTCAGCCAGCCAATCAGGAGGCGTGTAACACTCAGACAGCCGATCAGGAGGCCTGTAACACTCAGCCAGCCAATCAGGAGGCGTGTAACACTCAGCTACCAATCAGGAGGCGTGTAAAACTCATCTACCAATCAGGAGGCATATAACACTCAAACAGCCAATTATGGGGCGTGTAACACTCAGCCAGCCAATCAGGGGGCGTGTCAAACTCAGGCAGCCAATCAGGAGGCCTGAAACACTCAGACAGCCAATCAGGGGGATAGTAACACTCAGCCAGCCAATCAGGAGGCGTGTACCACTCAGGCAGCCAATAAGGAGGCGTGTCACACTCAGCCAGCCAATAAGAAGTCTTGTAACACTCAGACAGACAATTAGGGGGCGTGTAACACTCAGAAAGCCAATCAGGAGGCGTGTCACACTCAGGCAGCCAATTAGGAGGCGTGTAACAATCAGGCAGCCAATAAGGAGGCGTGTCACACTCAGGCAGCCAATTAGGAGGGGTGTAACACTCAGCTAGCCAATCAGGAGGCGTGTAACACTTAGCCAGCCAATCAGGAGGCGTGTAACACTCAGGCATCCAATAAGGAGGCGTGTCACACTCAGGCAGGCAATTAGGAGGGGTTTAGCACTCAGGTAGCCAATCAGGAAGCCTTTGACACTCAGCCAGCCAATCAGGAGGCGTGTCACACTCAGGCAGCCAATTAGGAGGCGTGTAACAATCAGGCAGCCAATAAGGAGGCGTGTCACACTCAGGCAGCCAATTAGGAGGGGTGTAACACTTAGCCAGCCAATAAGGAGGCGTGTCACACTCAGCCAGCCAATCAGGAGGCGTGTAACACTCATACAGCCAATCAGGAGGCGTGTAACACTCAGATAGCCGATCAGGAGGCCTGTAACACTCAGCCAGCCAATCAGGAGGCGTGTAACACTCAGGCAGGCAATTAGGAGGGGTTTAGCACTCAGGTAGCCAATCAGGAAGCCTTTGACACTCAGCCAGCCAATCAGGAGGCGTGTCACACTGAGACAGTCAATCAGGGGGCTTGTAACACTCAGCCAGCCAATCAGTAGGCATGTAACACTAAGCCAGCCAATGAGGAGGCGTGTCACACTCAGCCAGCCAATCAGGAGGCGTGTAACGCTCAGGCAGTCAATCAGGAGGCGTGAAACACTCAGCTACCAATCAGGAGGGGTGTTACGCTCAGGCAGTCAATCAGGGGGCGTGAAACACTCAGCTACCAATCAGGAGGCGTATAACACTAACCAACTAATCAGGAGGCGTGTAACACTCAGCTAGCCGTTTAGGAGGCGTGTAACAAACAGGCAGCCAATAAGGAGGCGTGTCACACTCAGGCAGCCAATTAGGAGGGGTGTAACACTCAGGTAGCCTTTGACACTCAGCCAGCCAATCAGGAGTCGTGTAAAACTCAGGCAGCCAATCAGGAGGCGTGAAACACTCAGGCAGCCAATAAGGAAGCGTGTCACACTCAGGCTGCCAATTAGGACTGGTGTAACGCTCAGGTAGCCAATCAGGAGGCGTGTTACACTGAGGCAGCCAATAAGGAGGCGTGTCACACTCAGCCAGCCAATCAGGAGGCCTTTGACATTCAGCCAGCCAATCAGGAGACGTTTAACCCTCAGCCAGCCAATAAGGAGGCGTGTAACACACAGCCAGCCAATCAGGGGCCGTGTAACACTCAGCCAGCCAATCAGGAGGCGTGTAACACTCAGCCAGCCAATCAGGAGGCGTATAACACTCAGCCAGCCAATCAGGAGTTGTGTAACACTCAGCCAGCCAATCAGGAGGCGTGTAACACTCAGATAGCCGATCAGGAGGCCTGTAACACTCAGCCAGCCAATCAGGAGGCGTGTAACACTCATCTACCAATCAGGAGGCGTGTAACACTCAAACAGCCAATTATGGGGCGTGTAACACTCAGCCAGCCAATTAGGAGGCGTGTAACACTCAGACAACCAATCAGGGGGCGTGTAACACTCAGCCAGCCAATCAGGAGTCGTGTAACACTCAGACAGACAATTAGGGGGCGTGTAACACTCAGAAAGCCAATCAGGAGGCGTGTCACACTCAGGCAGCCAATTAGGAGGCGTGTAACAATCAGGCAGCCAATAAGGAGGCGTGTCACACTCAGGCAGCCAATTAGGAGGGGTGTAACACTTAGCCAGCCAATAAGGAGGCGTGTCACACTCAGCCAGCCAATCAGGAGGCGTGTAACACTCATACAGCCAATCAGGAGGCGTGTAACACTCAGATAGCCGATCAGGAGGCCTGTAACACTCAGCCAGCCAATCAGGAGGCGTGTAACACTCAGGCAGGCAATTAGGAGGGGTTTAGCACTCAGGTAGCCAATCAGGAAGCCTTTGACACTCAGCCAGCCAATCAGGAGGCGTGACACACTGAGACAGTCAATCAGGGGGCTTGTAACACTCAGCCAGCCAATCAGTAGGCATGTAACACTAAGCCAGCCAATGAGGAGGCGTGTCACACTCAGCCAGCCAATCAGGAGGCGTGTAACGCTCAGGCAGTCAATCAGGAGGCGTGAAACACTCAGCTACCAATCAGGAGGCGTATAACACTAACCAACTAATCAGGAGGCGTGTAACACTCAGCTAGCCGTTTAGGAGGCGTGTAACAATCAGGCAGCCAATAAGGAGGCGTGTCACACTCAGGCAGCCAATTAGGAGGGGTGTAACACTCAGGTAGCCTTTGACACTCAGCCAGCCAATCAGGAGTCGTGTAACACTCAG